GTCTGGGTGACACCTGGTTGGGTCTCTCTCTTTCTCTCTCTGATCCTGGGACTGCAATATTTTTTTTTCCCTTTCCCTCCCTGCTGATGAGAGTTTTGCCTGACAACGCCGTGCGGCCAGACACGAACATAATAAAATATGAAGAACTACTTGTCAGAGTCCCTGCCAATGCCGACATGAAATGAAAAGTAGTTTGGGGGGGGGGGGGGGGTGAGTCTGACAGTTCAGAGGGAGAGATTAAAAAATAGTCAGCGGGGTCCTGTGCGATTCGCTGAAGGGCCCGTGGCCTGCTCTTGCGGGGACGCAAGCCAAACAGGTGTTTTCTTTTATCCTCTCCCTCATCCTCGTTCTCTTTGTACTTTTCTAGTTTTTCTCCCCTATTTTCATAAAATAAAAATACCTGAGTGAAGAACTCATAAGGTGTGGTTATGTTTGTCAACTTTCTTGTAAATGTGGCTTTCCACTTTTTTTGAAAGACATTTTGAAAGCATAAAATCGAAACAAACGAGAGTTGCTTCAAAACAGGAAATAAATGACCATATTTCAAACTATTAAAGAAGAAGAACTGCAATTGCATTAACTTTCATGATCTGAGAGCAAAAAAATATGAGTTTCGGTTCTCAGGATCTTAATTTATTCCCTCAAAAAAAAAAAAAAAAGAAAACGAGACATAAACCATAGTAACAATCATAAATACAGCTTGATGCAACAACTGAGTTTGTTTTCTTACCGTGAGCTACCCAGCCATGCTTGCACTGGTCACATGTTCGGAGGTGAATCTTTCCAGGCTGGAAACACTCGCATGTGCAGTTTACCAGTGTGCAGCGAATGGCCTGCAGAAACACAAGATGGAAGAAATCTGTGTCAGTTACAGCTACAGTACAACGAAGAGACAATAACACAGGACTGGCACAAAACTGTTTTCACAAGATGTAAGGAAAAAAAAAGATGGAAACTGTAAATGAACAGGAATTCCCCCATGCCCCATCACTGCTGGCTTTTACAGTGACAAAAACAACACGATTAAGTGTCATTCTTTATTTTTATTTTTACTACTGTCACATCACATGAACTCACAACATTACAGAGTCAGGTTGTGTTGTGTGATTCTGCACCTCTAACTTCCTCTGCTGAGTTTACAGATTTGTAACTTGTTTTGACTGAGGGTCCATTACTCAACACCGGTGCTGCACATTGTCTGACCTCGGAAAGCTTTTAGTGCTGAGAGGTTAAATGTCCAGACAAGATGAGGGCAACCTAGTGAGACTTACTCCTTCAAAGACAAAATTACAAAGCAAATCACTTTATAAAATGTTGCTCATCAAAAAACTAAACACTGAATGAAACAGGAAAAACAGGAAAAAAGAGCTGAAAAATGCGCAGAAGTAAAACAGCTCCATCATCCAAAGAGGAGCAGCAGCTGCAAGCTGTAAATTTCAAATTGACTTGGATAAATATAAAGAAAAAAGAGTAAAATCTGTGAAAAGCGATGCTAAAAAAATCTTATAAATTTTAAAAAGCACTGGCAGGTTTTTGTTCATCAGATTTTTCTCTTACATTATCAAGATGAATTGATAAATGTAAAGGTATGTACACTTGTGCAGAACTAAATCTTTATTTAAAGAGCTGCAGATGTAAGACAACATGAGTACAGTATTTCTAAAAAAAACACTTTTTCTATGTAACCAAATGCATGTCTTATTCCATGCTCTAAAATATAGGCATTCATGTGAAAAATAAATAAAAATTGCACAAGGAGAAAAATAATTTTACATTTGAAAGCACTCACATGACTGTATCATGATATTCAGTTTTTCAGGATTTTACTTTCAAGGAATTTTCTGAAGTGCTTTATACAGATTTCTTTTCTAAACCACATCTAAATCACATGTGGGTTTAAAAGTTGGTTGTTGTGTTTTGTCACAGTCAATTTCACAAAAAGGTCTAGGTTATCTAAACGTACTAGAGATGCACATTAAAGATACATGTGGGTGGCTTATCTAAGGCAAGATGAGACAACAACAAAGTGGCTGCTCGCTCCAATATTAAAGCTTTAGTTATCGGCTCATGACAGTTTATGAGTTTATAGTCTTGGCTGTGTGCTATCTGATCTTGTCTCACCGTTTGGTGTGACAGCTATGTGACACAGGCAAAAAGGGTCATAGGTTGGAGTCCATGTCTGCAGCAACATCCTGTATTTCACAACATTAGACACAATCAGCACTTCCATAGAACAGGATCAGCCTCCAGATCACAAAACTAAGATCAATGTAGAATACAGTATTTCTGCACTTTGTTGTGTTTGCACAAACCCAACTGCGTATTTTCAAATCTTCCACCTGGTATTTGGATTTAACCAATATCCTGCTACTCAACATAAAATTTGGGACCATGAAATCTATCAGAATCCCCTCCTTTGCCTACCCTGTGATGTAGCAAACCAGATTACGCAGAGATATCAAAGTGAACACGGGCTAATCCAAGATTAAACACAAAATTACACCCCTTCTAACCATGTCACCTCACGTTTCGACACTGAGCGAGACACTGAGACAGAGATTATTTGAATTTACACCATTTTTAAGCTCTCCAGGTGCGGGCATGGCAATCCTCTCAGCATGCGAGGATTACACGGCATGTGTCAGTGTCAGCGTGCACACACAGAGCGCACATAATCCAGAACTGTGTGCTGTAAACGAGCTGGGAGTTTTTTCTCTCAAGGACACTCAAGGCGACAAGTTAACAAGCATCAGTTCTTAAAAATAGTTAAAAATCTGCTATTTAATTTCTCAGAAGTGAATGGAGGACTTTAGTGATTTACGTAAAAAGAACTTCAACTTTAGCTACTGCTGAGGTCATTTACACATGTTTAAAAGAGATTCAAAAATGTAAAAATTCAAATGAATAAAGTTTAGCTGCTGCCCTCATAATGTCAGAATTGGTTTTTTTTTATTACTTTCAAATCTTCACTTTAGTTTTTCTGTTTTTCCTGTAACACATTTAGCACATGGATGTCACACTGTGCAGGTCTTTTGAATCTCCTCTCTGTGCATCAGCCCAACTTAAAAAAAATAATAAAAGAAAAAAATGGAAATATCAAATGCACCTCGGCTGTTTACAAGCCAGGGCTCTGACAGCTGACAGGATAGTTAAGGGGCGTCTAATATGGCAATTAGAGCACGCCACTGTCTGCAGGGCTGCTGCTGTGACAAGGCGCCCTCTAATCACTGACTTATTACGTCGGCTAGCAGCACCTCTCATATCTGGCCCATTAAGCAGACAACAGCATTAAGAAGCATTAAAGCAGCAACAAGCAACCCCCCCCCCCCCAAAAAAAAAAAAAAAAAAAAAAAAAAAAAAAAAAAAAAAAAAAAAACTAAAGAGGCAATGACGGGAACAGACTGTGCTTGTTATTTCTTAGGATTAATTTGTTCATTGTTCCACATTCGGTTAAAACGTGTCAGCGAAGACTATTACAGATGAAACGTCGACAATATGATGGGATCTAAGTTGATCATGTAGTTTGAGATAAAAGAGCACAGGCTGACGGATGTATCAAAGATGGCCGTCAAAACAACAAGAAAGAGGCGAGGTTGTCTGAGTTCATGGTTTCAACTGAAAAAACAAGAAAAAAATAATAAACTCCTGATGATTCACATGCTCAAAACTCTGCTTCTGTCACCATCTTGAATCTGAGTTGGCTCTGGTTAGACCCATGATGTCTGGGCTGGAATGAGTGTGGGACAAGCTTGAGAACAGATCCCAACACTACATATGTGTCACAGCAGGCCGTGTGACACGTGTGTGACTCGGACAAGTACTGAACATTAGTAACCGCGCTACAGTCTCGCCAGGGTTTCCTTTTTGGCTCAGAGAGCACGATGTTCAGTAAAAGGACAGACATGCATGTCTGTGTGTGTGTGTGCGTGCGTGTGTGTGTGTGTGTGTGTGAGAGAGAGAGGGAGAGAGAGAGAGAGGGAGACTTTGTAAATAACAGCAAACCATACGGAAAGCGACGAGCTGAGGCGAAGAAAAATCCCACAACGATGAAGCAATTAGACCCAGACAAGAGTCGACACTCACCCACTGCTGCTGTGTTACTGCCACAGCCAACAACATGACCAAGGTGGTGCTCAGAAAAGCATCTCTTTTTCTTTTTCTTTTTTTTTTGCTCTTATCTTTATCAACTTTGTGTGTCTCACTGCTGGGTTTTGTTTAGCTAGAGGTTTGATGTTTCTTGGATGTTTTGCTTGGCTCGCGGTCCCTGTCCCAGCCCAGTTGTATAAATACTGACGGTCAGCGTCGGACAGGGGAAGGACTCTCAATTGAAACTCTTTTAGTGTGATAAATGGACTGAAGAACTCCAGGAAAAAAAAGGAGCAGAACAAAAAACGGACAGCTTCTCGAGTGGTGCGAAATCATTTCAAACAGTTTGACAGGAAACAACAGGCTGTAGCTCAGTGTTAATCCACATACATGCAAGTCCAACCCTAAACATTGTGTTAACTTGATCTCTGCAACCTCTATGAAACAATAGAGGATATAGTGATCCTAAGCTAATATCCAGTGCAACTCTATTACTGCCCTGTCATGTTTTAGAGGTTTATATTGTAACAATATGCCACTGAAAGCACTGCTAAAATACCAGCTGTCTGTCAGTTTCAGTCCCTCTGTATCCTCTCTACAGCTGAAGCAAACCCAGACAGCTGCTGGATGCTGTGTGTGTGTGTGTGTGTGTGTGTGTGTGTGTGTGTGTGTGTGTGTGTGTGTGTGTGNGTGTGTGTGTGTGTGTGTGTGTGTGTGTGTGTGTGTGTTGTTCCACCTACTTTAATTGAAACCTTTACCATGTTCGACACACAGCCACAGACCACATTTCTTGTTTGGTGAGTTAAGCAAAGCCGAGATCTAAATGAAAACTTTGTGTTTTGTTGCGAGCACAACCAACCTGCGCGAGCGTGCACGCGCGAGAGAGAGACCCTCCACCGCATCGGCTTCGAATTTAAATTTGTCTCTGCTTAGGGTCATTGTAAAACACTGGGAGCATCTTGTCCTCTCTTCCACCCACAAGATATTATCTCATCCATGAGCTAGCTGCCGAGCTGCCGTCCCATTTCCTGCCAGAAATGTGCGGCCAGCGTGTGGAGGGAAAGAGGCACAGCAGCTTTGCGTGTCATAAAAACGATCCCAGATATCAGGCCTTCACAAATATCCATATTGGAAACAGGTGACAAATAAAACACGCCAAAAATATATAAAAAAAGAAAGAAAGCCTTTGTAGTTTGACCCAGCATGCCACAAAAACAGGAGAGCGAATACCTCATGCCACGGCTAATCTCTTGCTTGTTAAATTTTATCCAAAAGATTTGACTTAGCTTACAAAATAAACAACAATTAATCACTTGTGCAATTACTGTAATTTCAAACATTGTTCTGTTATTTAAAGGAAGTGTGGTTGGGCAGAATAGAGCGGGTTTTCTCAGTGAAACTCCCCCAAGGCGAGGCCCATCCTCCTTGTCAGTTCTTGTTTGAAAGCCGGCGGCTGGCAGTCACTGAGCCAGAGGTCCCTGTCCTCTGTGCAGCTGTGTGCCGGGGCTCCGACACGGGGCAGAGCCACCAGAGCTATGCTAATGGGAACCAAATGGGGCGTGAGTCCCCGGTGGATTACAGAAGGAGAAGAGAAGCATGTGTTTTCATGTATTCATGTGAAGACCTTGAACCCTGCTTCTTTTTTTCCTGTCCTTCTTTCTCTTTTTATTTCTTGAAGTCAAACAAATGGGAGCAGCAACATCTGCTGTTTTCAAAATCTCTACAGTAATTTTGACCTAACAGATAT